ATGTTTCAATTTTTATTACAATGTTTTGGATATTGGTTTAATTAGAGTATATTATTAAAGTAAACCTTACCTGTGTCTTTAAAATTACATATGTGGCTTACATTATATTTCTATTAGAGTGGTTTTAGAGCTGGGGTTTGCAGACTTCTCCTTTGAAAGGCAGATAGTAAATATTTTAGGATTTTGGGGCAGACAGTCTGTGACACAGTTACTCAGCTTTGCCACTGTAGCATGAAAGAAGCCGTAGACAATATGTAAGAGACTTAGCAAGTAAGTCTGGCTAGGTTGTAATATAACTATTTACAGAAGTAGGTGGCTTGCTGAATTTGGCCCATAGGCCATAGCCTGCTGAGCTAAAGTACCCACTACAACAAAAACAAAAGCCCAGAAACCAAAAAAGAACCCCAAAAAGTATAGTTTAAAAATTGAAGAGATGAGAGACAAATTCTCCATTACTCCAAAAGAAAGCAGGAGGGAGGTAAAAAGTGATAAAGAATAAACAGGGCAAAAAGAAATAAAATAGATTGTAGATTTAACTCAACTACGATGATTATATTAAATGGATATGGATAGATTAAAAGGAAGTTTTGTGAGGTTGTACAAAAGAAAGGGACAAACTCTGTTAATTTACAAAAGTACTCACAGACACAAAGAAAACTCCACACTGAGCACAGAGCCCAACACAGGATTATGGATTGTGGATTAAGGATTATGGCCTTAATCCCATGAAGCCAGAATCACTACCTGAGCCAAAACCAAGAGTCAGGTGCTTAACCAACTGTGCCACCCAGGTGCCCCACTATACACTTTAGAAAAGAGACTTAAGTTCAGCTTTTATCTTAAGAAGCTTGAAAGAAGAGAGTACCTAAAGTAAGTAAAAGGAAGGAAATGATGAAGAATGGAAATTAGTGAAATAGAAAAAAAAAAAATCAACAGTAGATAAATCAGCAAATCTAAAAACTGGTTCTTTGAAATGATCAATAAAAATGATAGGCATCTAGCTAGAATATCAAAAAAAGAAAAAGAAACTAAAAAGTTACCATTATAAAGAATGAAAGAAGGGATAATCAAAATGGATACTGAAGATGTTAAAAGGATAATAGTATCATGAACTATATAATGCTGAGAAATTTGACAACTTAGATGAAATGGACAAATTCCTTGAAAGATACATATTACCAAAATTGACACAAGAAGAAAAAGAAAATCTAATAATTTCATTATTCATAATTAAAATTTTTCTTACAACAAAACTCTAGACTCAGATGATTTTACTAAATTCTATTAAACAATTATGAAAGACAAATCTTAGTAAAACACTTCCTGAAAATAGACACCTCCAACCGATACAATGACCTGAAAACAAAAGCACCCAAGGATATTATGAGGAAAGAAATTACAGATCAAGATCTCTCATTAATGTAGATATAAGAAAAACCCCTTAATGGAATAATAGCAAATCAAATTCAGTATGACAACACATTATGACTAAATGGGTTTTATCCAGAGACAAAAGGTTGATTTAATATTCAAAAACCAATGTAATTCCTTATACTAGTAAAGGAGAAAAATCATATGATCAGGAAATCCCAAAAAATTACTTAATATACATCCATGACTTAAATTTTGTTTTCTTTCAACAAACTACAATGAAATTTCCTCAGCCTGATAAAGGGCATTTAGGAAAAAACCTACAGCTAACATCATATTTAATGGTTAAAGAATGAATATTTTCCACCAAAGAACAGGAACAAAGCAAGAATGCCCACTCTTGTAGTATTAGAGGTCATGGCAGGTGTGATAAAGCATGAAAAAAAGATCTAAAAGGCATACATGTTGGAAAGGACGAAGTAAAACTCCCATTCACAAACATGATTGATGATGTAGAAAATTCTAAGAATCTATCAAAGAACTACTAGAATTAAAAAGTGAATTTAGGCTCACTCGTTCTCTCTCCCTCTGTCCCTGACAAATAAATAAATAAAATCTTTAAAAAAAAAAAAAAGTGAATTTAGAAAGATCCCAAGATTCAAGGTCTATAATATACAAAATTATATTTACAATAGAATTTAAAATATTTAGAGATAATTTTAATGGGAAATGTGTAAGATGTCTACACAAAGAAACTACAGAACACTGTTGAGAGAAATTAAAGATCTATATAAATGGAGAGGAGTATCCATTTCATGCGTTCGAAGACTCCGGTGTGTTGCCCCCCTAAACTGATCTTTAGATTGAGCAGAGTCACAATCAAAATCCCATTGTGCTTTTTAGTGGGAATTGATAAACTGGTTCTTAAATTTTATGGAAAGGGACAGAACCTAAAATGGCCAGTGCATTCTTTTTTTTTTTTTTTTTTTTAAGATTTTATTTATTTATTTGACAGAGATCACAAGTAGGCAGAGAGGCAGGCAGAGAGAGGTGGAGGCAGGCTCCCTGCTGAGCAGAGAGCCCGATGCGGGGCTCGATTCCAGGACCCTGGGACCATGACCTGAGCCCAAGGCAGAGGCTTTAACCCACTGAGCCACCCAGGCGCCCCTGGCCAGTGCATTCTTGAAAAAAAGTGTTGAAGGACTTCTACTCATTTCAAAACTTGTGAAGCTGCAGTAATTGATGCAGTGTAGCTCTGGTATAAGGACAAAGAGATTGAGAGAAGAGGAGAGAGTCCAGAAACAGACCATTACTTATAATGTCAGGGGACTTTTGAAAAAGATTCCAGTGAAACTTAATTAGGAAAAGGAACCTCTTTTTACACATGGTGCTGAGACAGCTGGCTCTATATAAAGTAAGAGAAGGAATCTTAACCCCCTTACACCATACACCAGAATGATTTGACATGGCTCATAGACTCAAAATGAAAACTAAAACTACAAGCCTTTTTAAAAAGGTATAGTAACCTGTGACCCTAAGACATGCAAAATTTTCTCAGGTTTCTTTACAGAAAAATAAATGACAAATTGAACTTCAAAGAAAAATAACACAGTTTTTGCTCACTGAAGACACTGTTAAATAAATGATAGGCTACACACTAGTACATATCCATAGTATAGATGTGTAAAGAATACTTACAACTCAGTAATAAAGAGACAATCATCCACATAAAAATGGACCAAGACATTTCATGAAAGAAGATACAGGATGGGCAGTGAGCACATGAAAAAGTGCCCACAGATACTAATTATCAGGTACATGATAACTGGAATCAACAGAGATACTAATACATAAATGTTGGAATAGCTAAAATTAGAAAGACCAACAGCAAATGTTGGGGAGGATCTGTGATTACTGGTGGGAGTATAAAATGGAAGTATTTGTCAACTTTTTATTAAGGTGAACATACATCTGCCCTATGAAATAGGAGTTCCACTTCTCAGGACAAACAAAATGTATCTATAGAAGGACTTGTGACACAAAGCTACTATTCATGGTGACTAGAGCCAGGGGCAGCCCAGTTATTAATGGGAGACTGGATATATGAATTATGATGTAGTTCTACAATGGAGTATTACTCAACAAGAAAAAGAAGAAATGACTAATATATGCAGCAATGTGGATGAACTTCAAAAATACATGCTGAGGAGTGCCTGGGTGGCTCAGTGGGTCGGGGCCTCTGCCTTTGGCTCAGGTCCTGATCCCAGGGTCCTGGGATAGAGCCCTGCATCGGGCTCTCTGCTCAGCGGGAGGCCTGCCACCCCCTCTCTGCCTGCCTCTCTGCCTACTGTGATCTCTGTCAAATAAATAAAATCTTAAAAAAAAAAAAAAATACATGCTGAGTGAAAAAAGCCAGACACAAGAGTTTATACTGTGTGACTATATGGTATGTGACTTTCTAGAAGAAGACAAACTAGCCTAGTAATGAAAATCAGAACAGTGGTTGTCTGGGAGAAAGGGTCTAACTGAGAAAGAGAACAAAGAGCTTTCTGGAGTGATAAAATCTGTACACATGTATCACAATGCTATCCCAATTAAAAAACCAATGTCTTTGCTTAGAACCTGGGCATCAGTTTTTTTTTTATAGTCCCTCCCTACCTCCATACGTAATTGATTATGGTGGACAGTAACAGTTGAAAAAGAACACTCAAGAAATCTCAAAATTTTGTCCCCAAGCAGTACTGTAATTTTATAAACGGAAACTATAACTGCAAAAGATTCTTACTAGTACTAAAGAGCATTCTCTGGATAAACATGCATGCTTGCTGGTTGGATAAGAAATGCCCAACTTGTATATGTCTAATTTTCATCCTGGCTGCCAAGAAGTTCAGAGCCAAATTCAGTGTTCAGTTTAGTGATTAACATCCCAGCTGCCTGATATACCAATTTGTGGGGCGGGGGTTGGGAAACGGAAGATGGGGGTATTAAACTATCCTGTTTCACATTTTAAACTACCTCAAATCATTTGGGGGAAAATGATGGTATATAAATGATAGAAAATGTTGGTCATTTTGGAAAAAAATTTCGCTTTCACTGAAGATAGAAATACATTGTATGCTTCTTCTTGTCAAAAAAAGGTTAGTTCTGGAAGGACTTCTGCTATTGCTTGGATGAGTCCTCTGCTAAAGGTAGGTCACTACCTGACCAAATGATGGAATAACATTAAAAAATGCATCATTTTAAAATACAACCATATCAACAGGGAGACTCTTCACTTACCTTCGATTTTAAGGGTGAGACTGACTGGAGGAACCCACGTAAGAGATGGAATATGTTAAGAGTCCCTAATGGATCATAGATGGCATAAAAATTTAAGTGCACTTCATTACATTCTTAGGCTAAAGAAAGAAATCAGATCTGTACGCAAATGTGCTCACTGTCGTTATGTTTCTGCGATGACTGGTGTCGGCTGCTTTGATTTTATCCACTGGATAGGATAGTTTTCTGCCCTTTCTCATTTAACAAAACCATACAACCTTGACCCTCAGGAGAAAATACAATTTCTTTACTCCCATAGCGCATATTCTAATGCAACATGAAGGAAAAAGAAACAACAAAAAGCCTCTCACCTGAGCTGTCTCACTGCTAAGCATTACAGTCGGTGGCTCCACTTTTTGCACTTTTCTCCCTGTTAAGCAGGACTCAGCACTTCTCTCACTATGGATGTTTTTCTCTATTAACCTATTTTGCATCTGATTGACTTGCTTTGTTGCAGCCTTTTGAGAAACAACCTGTTGATAGAGAGTAATCATGTATAATGAAAACTTTTGACACTTGTTTAAAAAAAAAAACAAAACGCATTCACATCCAGATTCTTGAAAATTCTAAACTTGCCAAGGTTTGTAAAAAGGAGGAAATAAAGAGGAAACCAACAAATGGATGTTATGGAAAGAATATAGAAGTTGGCAAGATCCAGACCTTTCTCATCAATAGTACAAGACCAATTAAAATTAGTGTCACTGTTGTACGCTCTTTAGAAATTATCTTATTGAAAACGGCATTTTTACAGAAAACTGTCACATTCTCAAACTGCACATGAATTCATTATTAACCTTTGCTGGGAGTGGATCCAATACATCTTTTTAGTTTAAATTCTTATTAATTAGAATCTTAGTTCTCTATCATTGAAGTGAGCCTAATTAATGTGAACGTATAAAAGGAGCTTAGGATGTTGCTTACTTTTTTTATACAGGTAATTTAACCTTTCAGCAGATGAGTCACAGTTCATGTCACCTAGTACTGTGAACCAGTATCAGAGGTTAAGTTCTACAACAAGCCTGCTGTCTCTGAGGTTTCTTTTTCACACCACGGTGTTTTCTGGGGGATGACTGACTCTCAATAACCTTGAAGTAGACATGGAAATAGAAGGGCAGACCCCACAATAGAGTTGGAAGATTGAAAGCCACAGTGAAGACCCTTCTGTGAAGTATTTGCTCAGCAGCTTCGTGTTTACAGCAGCTGAAAGTGCCATCACCTTTTTTCATGGGTTAAATAGGGGGCAGAAGATAGGAGCAGCACAAGGGGAAATAATGGAGTAGCCAGTGCCAAAACAGAGAATGAATTACATTGGCTGGGCAAGCAGAGCCTTAATTTGCAGTCTCTCGATTTTTAGCTTCTGTTGCCAAATGTGTTCACTCCTTCCCTTTAAAATATGCTGGTGTTTTGTGGCTAGGTCTAAGCTGTCACAACACCATTCTTTATTCACCCCTCCTCCTGGATTCCAGCTTCTCAAAGGAGAGCAAAGTCATTGCTTTTCAGTAACCTGACAATTGGAATTGTTCCCTCATCACTCAGGGTTTCTTTATTTTCACCACTTGACTCTCCCAAACTACTGGAGAAATTCGTGTGTGTAACCATCTTCTGAGTCTCTCTCCCACTGAAGTCATCTTGGTGATAAATGCTCATCATACCACAGGGTGAAATAAAGGGTTTCCCAAGGCTGCTGTACACCATTCATCCTAATAAAAGACTAGCTTGCCGATCATCCTGAAAATGTGTCTCATGATATAAAGGATTAGTTGAGATACTAGTTGAGGTTTTTAAAGCCTCCTGGATGCTAGGCACTTTAGGTAGAACGGTTTTTGGCCTGGGAGCCTCTGATGTACAAACAAAATTTGATCTAATATAGTCAGTCCTCCGTGAGGCTTTCTGGAAGAGATGGTGCCTCCTGGATCTGCTGTCAGTTGGCCGGATGGTTAGATTGTGCTGCCATAAGCACTTCTAGCTAATAAAGTGATATCCAGTTTATGAAAAATTTCTATTTCTAGGGAAACTTTTGAAATGGTAAGAGTGGAATAGGATGATTAAGTTTTACTCTCAGTTGTGAACAGAGGTAAAACTTTTCTCAAATACATGAAAGTAAGTACAGGAAACAGTCTGGGCATCTCACATAATCAAACAAAATGATACTGTGCAAATCTGGGTCATTTTCAAGAAAGTGGCTATTCAAATAAGGCATTTTTAATTTAATCTTCCACTGGCACTTCACGGTATTCTAAGAAATCAGGAATACTCTGGCCTCCTAAAATTCAGTAAGCCAGCAATATGCTCATAATTGAGAATTTATACTCTCCTTTTCTCACACAGAATTATGAAGACAAGCTTAACAGAATTATTTTGAGAAGGCTCAAGAAAGAATTGTGTAAATTTTTAAGTTCAATGCAAGGATTACTACAACCAATAATAATATATTCACCCCTGGGTTTGCTGTAGGAGCCTCAGATTCAGGGTAAATGAAAGGACAAACTTGCACTTGTCTGAAATGTAGGACAGCTTGAATGTTTCACTGTCCTACGGTTGCTCCTCTGTCTAGGTCGAGCATTTCGGAAGGATGGGTGGCTCATTATGCCCAGGTCTCTGTGCTGTTACAGTATGACTCGGGTATCCCAACACCGAGGGAGATATGATAAGCTGATCAAAGGGTCCACTACTGGCTCTTGAAGAAACAGCTTATTCAAGGGTTGAATGGGGGCCTTCAATAATGCTGGTTTTCCAGCTTGGCTTAGCATTCTCATCTGGGAATTCTAGAGCTTCAGCTCACCTCAATAAGCGTTCATACTGAAATATGGTTTCCTTCAGTGAATTTTGGACATTAAATCCCAGTGGAAGGCATCAACAGACTGTGGTAGCCCTGATGATAGATTCTTCTAATTTGACAGTGTTACCTCAGGAGCCATCGGAGCTGCTAAAGAGTGATTTCAGCAACACAGACCATCATTTTGATTGAGGCAAATGCCCCAAAAGATTTGCTTTTGAGGAAAAAAATATTAGTGTCCCTCCTGTCTTGACAAAAATTCATTTCCAACTTAACTCTAGTAACAGTATTTGAGGACTTGTGCAAGGCAGCAGCTCGGTTTACAGGAACAGTTTATGATGCCTAGTAAAACCCAGTATTGGAAAAATACCTCATTTTTCTTTTGCAAAAACATGCTGTAAGTTTGCCAAGATTCTTATGGTGATGTGCTATTTTCTAATACCTAACCAAAACATATTTTTGTTAGGAACACTAAATTTAAAAGGCACAACCACTTATACTGAGGGTAATAACTTGGACAAAATTAAACATTTATAACTTTCTTTTGAATACTGAATATTTTGTTTATCTAACTGTGTATGTTTTCTGGCTCACTGACTTGTTTTTAAGTGTCTTTGTCCAAAAATTTTAAGTCCAGAATTCACTCAGTATTCTATTAAATAATTAGAGTACATTGAAGTAACAAGAAATGTTTTTAGTTACTAGTAAGGGGATTCTGTGATTAAAAAGAGAGAAATTTGGAGCCATGTGACTGGTGCTCATTCTGGACCTAAAATGATTTTTGTTATGAAAGTAGTCAATCGCAGAAACTATCCTATACTTCTATCATTCACGGGAACTGAGTACATAACAGTTTACACTGTCATATTTTGCTTTTAAACATTTTCGAGTTTGATTTTTGCAACCTTACAAAATATGTAAACTTTAAAAATAAAAATTCAGATACTTTAGGTTTAGCCACATGGTGAACCCATTTTTATGACTATTAAATATATTTGTGCACTTAAAATACTACAGAAGTTAAGTCATTATTCCATAAATATTGATCTGCTGTGGAATATACCCTCACTATACACTGGGGCTGGTCATACTGTTAGAAATTAACTAAGGTCTTAAGAATGCACATTATTCTTTGTATTTTCTTTTTACTCATAATCAAAGTGCTCTAATCAAAAGGGAAGAATAAAATTTTTGATTGAGTCTCATTGGAAAAATGCACATTGGAAAAATGTTTTATGTTCTATTATCTGCATATAAAAATGGTTTCACAACAAACATCCTTTGCTTTTGATGAAACTGAAAATTCTGGTGAATAATAATTAGAATTTTACATCAGAGAATATAACTATCAGTTTTTAAAATGGCTTCCTTTATATTTCAATTAAGTTTATGAAACTGAAAAACTACGAAAAAGGAAAAAAAATCTACTTAAATTAGTGTAGATTAAGTGGTGACCATTATTGCAAGGGAAATACTATGTTAAGGAAATGGCTCTTTGTTTTGTTGCAAAAGTGATAAAAACACAGAAGTCAATAAAACTGTTAAAATAAGTCTCAGTAATTACCAAGATCAAAATCCACTGGCTTTTTATTAAACATGAACTTTTGTTCTGCCTTCTGCAATACGTAAATAGTGCTGACAATTGGTTTGTGAGGCATTTGCTACAATAAAATGTAATTGTATCATGAGAGAAAGGTGACAATCAGGAGATCATGAAAAAATTACATATTCTCACTGGTAGTTAATTAGCCATGCAAAACCTCCTCAAACAGATATTCTCTTCTATTAGGAATGATTACTATGCAGGCCTACAGATGTCAATACCACAGTCATTCAAATACTTCTTTCCCTACTAATTGAAGGTTGTAAAGCTCTGGTGCCAAGGTTTTGCTTCCAAAGAGCTAATTTATGACTAGAAGGATATTTTATGTCTTCAGTTGCAGCAGCTACAAAATTCAGCAAATCAGAACCATCTGTGCACTGATACTTGACTCACCATTCATCTCGCAGCCTATCAGTCACATTAGTTTGCATCCTGCATTCTTGGCTCGTGAACACTTGCGATGATCCAAAGTTCATAAGAAATATTAAAAATGAATGGCATCCTGACCCTACCTTATTGTACACGCATCAGGAAACCCCACCACCACCACCCACATCTTTTGCATATGGACCGTATCAAGGAACGACTGGACACTTGGATTCCCACCCAGTAAGGCTGTTCACAGCAGTCTCAAGTTGCCCCCGCCCTCTGAGAAAGGTTAAGTCCTAATTCTTGTACATTGTTTCAAGTTCTATTTTTTTAAGTTGGTGTGAGCCAGTCAGTTGGAAAATTACAGAGTAAAGGATGAAAAGGTGTAACTTAAAAAAAAAAAAAATTGTAGATTGAAGTATCAGTACACACAAGTCCTTTAGTTAAATTTAAGAGTATCACTATGATTGCCACCAAATTATGACCAAACTGGTAAGCAAAACCAGAGGGAAGTAACTAAAGAGATCTGAAGAAAAGCAGCAAATAAAGGTCCTCATGAGTAAAGTCAGATTAGCCTTTAATCTGACCTTTGGTCATATCTCTGTGGCCTCAGTCACTGCTTGCTTTCTTTAACAGTACACTAAATCGGCTATAGATCCTCCTGTTTTTCTCTAGGAGACAATAGGTCAAAAGGACTTTCAACAAAATTTCTTGGAGTTGAGTGAGGAGAACTAGTAATTACATATAATAAGCAAGAAACTGGGTTGTCAGACTCCTTTTGAGACCCCAAACAACTTCATTTGGTAGAAAAGCTTCAGAGAAGGTAATCCTAGGGTCCCAGGGACTAAATTACTTACTTTTTGATTGTTTGGGATATACACATTTGCACCCTCTCCTCTGGTGGAAAACTCCAGTGGTCCTAAAGGTATTCCACCTGGGTTCAGGATTTTCTTGAGCATTTGATAGTTTGGCTTTTCATCATATGCCAAATTATGAGCACATACCAAATATTCAGCTATTTCACCTGTGAAGTGTTAAATTTTTTTAAATGTTATTCATAATGGGCAAGAATTGTCAAGGTTCTAGTATCCTCAAAACCTCTCTATTCTCTTATACATGCACACAACACACATCCTGAAGAAACTATCAGTGAACACTCTGGTGAAAAGCACTTTTCAAATGATACCCAAAAATGACTGAAATACAGTGACCTGGAGATGTGACAAGATGGGAGAAACTAATAATTTTTTACATATCTTTGTTGGTATGTTTATTTTTCACTAATCAAAAGAAGCAAATTTTTAAGATTATAGTTAGTGATTTTGACTTACGGGGTGCAATTACTAAGAACTACATGAGTAATATGATAGATCAGGCATGCTTCATACTTCTTTTATGTTGAAGTTTTAAAAATTCAGCTACAAACAAGTGTCACTTATTATAAACCTCCTTACTTTGATGGAAAAAAATATCACTGCAAATTTTAATTCAGACTTTGATTTTGAGATAATACTAGTACATTTAGAAATGACCTTGAATTCTAGGTTTTTAGCCATGACTAATTTTAGAGTTCACCAGACCTCCCTCGAGCCCTCCATCCTTAGAGCCAGCCGGGTGCCTTCACTTGTGTCATCTTCCTAACGACAGAGCAGAAGGAGGAGATATTGCTACTTTTTTCTTTCTAATGTAATCTCTTCCTTAGAACTACATAGCAATCCCCCCCCCACAAAATATGAATGAACTCTTAAACACAAATAGAATTAGTGACCCAAATTTATAAACATTGCTGCCTTAAATGTAGTTTTGCATTTTTCAGGTGGAGATTCAATCTAAATTCAAGATGAAAGTATATGACGATACTGTATACTTCTTAAAATCTAGCATGTTTTCCTTTCTTGCAGAGATGTTTAGATACTCCACAAACTAGTTTTTATAAGCTTTCCCGTTCAAAAACTTATCACTCACACAGACATAAGTACCTCTTACTTTCTCACTAAATTGCTATATCCCCATGGCTGGGAAAATCTGGGAAGTTTTGTGGGTTGGCAGGAGTGACTTCCTAATCCTTCCCTTCCCCTCCGGGCCCATCTCCATTCAAAAGGGAATGGCAGACACTGGCTTTCACCCCCTATAGGGGAAAAATTCCAAAAGGAACAGTCACCATCCCTTCCTCTTACCAAAGTCAGAGTGACCATTTCATACCCATTACCCACAGCCATGTTCGAGGACCATAAGGCTACTGTGGCTAAAATGAGAACTCTTGGCTCCAGGGTTTTTGTCTTTAGTTTCTTGGTTTTTGTTTGTTTTTCCTTTTCTTCTGGATACGGTAGCAATTATGCAACCTAACTTTCTTCCTTCTCTAATGTTGTAAGGTGTATCACATTCTGTTATGTAACATTCGATCAACCACATCTTTGTTAACTAGTAAATGGTATGGCTTCATCACATTTGTAACTCCTGTTTCCAGAAGCCCATTGCAGGCATCTGATTCCTGAAGGGATGATCAAAAAGAAAAAAAGATTACATTACATTTACTACCATTTTCATGTAAATATTCTGTTGTTCTTTGGCCCTTTTGAGATGGGTAAACCAACTTTGGTATATGTTATCACAATTCTTTTAACCAAAATATCCCAATGGAGAAGAGAGCTGAACACTGTGGGAGAATTTTCGCAGGTCATGGTTAGAAGACGATGCAAGATTCCTGGCGCTCTCCCAGCTGAAGACAGCTGTGCTGCCAAGTCTTCTTGGGTCCGGGGCTTGGAAAAATGAGGTGAGGTAGGAAAGGGAGAAAAAGAAAAGCCACTTCTTATAAATTCGTTATTATCAATCCAAAGCTTGGACTACTGTGATGTATTACTGCTTTAAATGTTAGCCTTCCAAGATCTGGATTTATTATATTAAGTATACTTTTTAATTTACTGGCATATTTCTGGAGCTATAAAACAAAATGCTTTGAGTAGTATGAAATTATGATATTCTCGAATCATCTGCTTTTAAGCTAATGAAATACTAAGTATCATTACTATCACCTCAGGAGACAGAAACCTATGCAACTATTCCTATTACACGAGTTGGACATGCATATTGGAAACTTTTTGGTGGTTTTATTTCATCAACTGCTTTAGTAATAAACCTTTTTACACATTGGATTATCATGCTTGCAGTACCCACTCCTAAGTACAACCAAGAGATCTTCAGATAATACTAAAGTTTCAATGTTCTGTGCTATAGAAATAGAAATCTGCATTTTATAAAATAATAGGATGGACCCAAATAAATGGTTGGTACTGAAAATGGAGAACCTGGCCTTCCTGTCATCTCTCGTTGTCGCTCGAATCTTCTTATCTCCAGTAATAGAAGGGTCCCAGAATATACACAGGCCCACAAGCATTTATCTTGTGCAACCCAGGGCATCAGGGCTTTCTTTTCTATTACTGAGCTGAACAGTTAGTTACCTTCTGTGCAAGAGGGGCAGAAAAGGTAAGGGAGATACACAGAGAAAACTTTCTTTGACATCTCTCATTTCTCCTTTTTGCTGTCCTATTGAGTAAAACATAAGCTGTATAACTTAGTCCAAATGCCAATAGGCATATTAGCCAAAAAGCAATACTGGCATTTGGACCAAGTTACTCAGAGCAGTTACAGAAACGGAAAGTTTTCTCATTCCCAACCCACCCCTCCACCCAAGGAGAACTCCTCCTCTGTCAGAAGAGGGACTACAGAAGCTGGGAAGCTGGAGGCTCACACTGGGGCAAGCTCAGGACTTGGAGGACAGAGGTGGAAAAGCAGAACTGCTTTGTTCCTCTTTCGTTTCCCATGGAAATGAACATTTTGGTTTCTTGTCAAAGAAAGGCTATAAATATAAGTTCAAGACGATTTAACTCTACATTTAAACTCTCAGATGGAAACTGATGCTATTTGACCTTATCTAGAGGGTCAGTGTACACATTCACTTTCATAAGTCAGCTAAAAGCTAACTTTGAGATTGCCCAATATAGAGAAAACGAGATTCATTCTGCTTATCTGTCTCTGAGAAAAAGTGAGCCTGACAGCAGAAGCTGCCTCTTTTCTATAAGACAATCGAACTCATTTATTAAATTGGTGAACAATGTGCCATGCATGCATATGCAAACGACAGGCACTTATGAACTGACTTACTATTTTTACTGATAATACTGTCAATTAAAGAATTCCAAAACGATCCATACTAACTTGAAAGAGAAAACCATTTAATGAAACATACCTTCAAATCCCAAGGTTATATGACTTTGCCAATTCAAAATTTTTTTTGCTGGCTGTTCAGACTACGACCAGGTTTAAACAGCATTCAAGTGTTCAATGATTTGGTTTTTTTAAATTACTGACTTAAAGTAGTCCTTCCTTAGATCAACTTTATCTCTTTCAACAATATACAAAGGGACAAAACCAGAATGTCAACTCTAAAAGGCACTAGATACAGTTGATGATTAAACGGAGAAGTGAGTTGGGAGAAATCAGAGGGGGAGACAAACCATGAGAGACTGTGGACTCTGAGAAACAAACTGAGGGTTTTGGAGGGGCGGGGGTGGGGGGTTGGGTGAGCCTGGTGGTGGGTATTAAGGAGGGCGCGTATTGCATGGAGCACTGGGTGTGGTGCATAAACAATGAATGCTGGAACACTGAAAAGAAATAAAACGGAAAAACAAAAACCCAAAAAACCTGTGTAGGATTCCTCTCTCCCTGCCTCTCCCCCACCCCCGGCCCCATGCCCAATGTAGTCAGCAAAGCCTAGAAGGCTGCCTAAATATTTTCTTGTAGCCTTCATGTGTTCTAATGTCAGGAGAGGATCTAAACGTTCTCTTCTCAGGCAATTTATCTGTAACCCAGTGTACAGAGTTTCCTCCCACCCCCGTGGGAAAGGGAGTGGGTGGAATAAGCAAAAACTGTAAAACAAGACTGACAAATGTAGAAATGTGGTGACCACTAAATCATATAGGAGAAGGTGGTAGCATTTGACTTACGGCAGCGGCTTCCGGAAGGAGCCCATTTAAGCACTGATTCAGGAAGCTCATCCAATAGACTAAAACAAAAGAGAGTAAGAGTCAATGAATTTGTTTAAGATCCTGTGATTCCCACTGTCTTGATTAGAAAACAAAACTCAAGTTCTGTGTTGGTGGGTCGCCTGTATTGTCATGCCTTTCAATATTTTTTTTTTTTTCACACACCTGGAAGGGGAAAGAGGGTAAGTGGAGGTGGGGGCGATCCTTCAATTCTCATTGACCAGTTTTATATCAATTAGCTAGAAAGTGAATGTAGATTTATAGTATAAATGCTTTCACTCAAAGTCTGGACATGCAGAAATGTAGAAGCAGGGAAATCTATCATGATTTTTTTTTTCTTAAAAACAAGAAAAAATACATAGGAAAATTGTATCAGGATTTTCAGGAGATTCTTCCTCAGGTACTTATCCTTGGGGAGGGGCAAATTATTTAATTATTTATGTATACTGTTCTCCATTGGGCAGAGTTTTATGCTATTCTATGATTCAGTGGGTTAACAAGTAATATTCAAACCACAAAACAAACAAGAAAATCATTATGTTAATCCCTTCTAGTGCTTTAGATGAAACAGGCACAGTTCTATTAATTTGCCTCAGCCACCAGTATATAAACATGCAACTAAAATTATTGATAGGAGTGTCTGACTGACAAACTCGGGCACAGGCAGAATTGCAACAATAAATGCACTGATCTGGTGTTCACCCCATGTCAGGAAAATAAAGGGCATGAAGGAAATACAGTATCACGGCCGTATACGCAAGCAGGCCCTTACAAGGAAATTCAGAGTGCACCTTCTTAGAAGGTGAATGACTTAACGATTATACATTATTTACTAGCCGAAGTTTAAAAATGTCTATAGTTTACCTTAATTATAAACTTCACTATATATTAGCTTTATTGCTTAACAGATTTATATTAATCAAATCAAAATGAAGATATTAATGTAAGGGTGCCCAAAATATAAATGAAGTTATGTTTATTAGCATTATATTTTATTATTTTGCATGATACCCTATTATCATATTTGAATATACACAGGTAGGCATATTCTTTAGCTATCAACAATGAATGCATCTATATGTGTATACGGATAAAAGACTAAAACAAATCACAGTTGTCTTATTAAAAGAGAAAAATACATAAAATCATCAGAGTTAAAATGCAAGTCTTTAAATATAGCACATTATTCAAATCAGGTGAACTGAGGTGAAAAACTGGATACTGAGATTGTTTATATATGCCCATTACTGTGCTTTGATTTGACCCATATATTGAAAAATGTTGGTTAATACGGGGACATTAATCACTTCAGTAAATAACTGATTAGACGGTTCTAATATTGACTTATATAAATGTGTTTGTTTGGGGCAAGGGGCTGGGATGATCAAGATTCCAAGCGGAGAAATACTTCATATACTATGCCAGTGTATACAAATGTAAACTGTACTACTCCGCATCTGCAGGCTAGGCCCTCTGTGTTAAGAACTGAGAGCACACTGAATTTGAAGACTGCTTTCTATAGATCAGCTCCCCCTTTTGTAAATTTCTGTTGTGACTCACCTTACTTCAAACACAGCTGCCTTTTCCAATCGCAGTATTGTATCTGCGGACAACCACTGTTGAGCCTATCTTAGTATATAATGAAAACTGGCTATTCTGGGCTGCCTGTGATTGCTTTCCTGTAGGCCTTATCAGTGAGAAATTAGCAAAATAGTAACATAATCTGTTCTCAGTCTGACCTAGTTCTCATGCTAACACATTCTAGGTGATAAAAATTGAATGTGGAATATTAAAAGCGTTTATGTGGCTGCAACATTATCTCTAATAGGAACACCTCCTGTAAAAGTTTTGTTTCTTCCTTAAGAAACAAAACACACTCCCTCCAAGACACAGAATTAAAAGGTAAGTTGCTCTCACTTGAAAAATATAAGCCCTCTCTGTCCCGCCTCACTGTCGCTTTCCACAGTTAATACCAATCATACCCAACGCAGACTATCTCCACGTACTTGTACAACGCTGATTTGAAACGACTCTTCCTTGAAAACGCCACCACCCAGAATTTAGCTCTGGAAAACATCACGTAAAAGAACAAACACTTCACTTGACATTCCACGTCACAGTGCGCGTGCAGGTGACCTCACAGGTGCTACCTTAACTGATGTGAAGTTGGTCAGGTGTTTGGTCTTTAAAAAATGTTTTTCAGATTTTAGAAATTTGCTTTATCATACTGGGCCAATGGCTAGTAATGCCCTTGAATGTGTCCCTTCCGAGCCCCTGCCCTCCAGGCTGGAATACCTACAAATGCGTACTTTGTTTTAGCAGTTTGCACGGCCACAGGGTCCCGCAGGCTCCGCTCCCAGGGCAGCCCCCCACAGGACCAGCGCAGCAGGCAGTAGCCGAGGGTCTCGAGGTCACTCCTTCTGGACAGGGCTGGAGGGGGAGGAAGCACGGAGAGAGAAACAGGAGGGACAAGCAAGTTTTGAGACCTAGAGAAATCGCCAAATGAACTACCGCTGATGAAATATGAAAAAGCCAAATGGGCAAACGTGTTTTGTTTGTTCAGCTGGATGAAAACTTAGATGCCTGGGCTTTTGGCCGCAGTCCACAGACAGGCAGTGACTTGTGGCTGTTGAAAGTAAGGGTCAGTTTCCTCGCCTCCTCCAACTTCATCCTTCCTTCGTCTGGCCTGTCACATGAACTTGATCTCCATGGCCTCTGACATGATCCAGACAACCCATAACCTGGCACCAACACTTTCTCAAAGAGCCAAGCAGTAAAACAAAGAAATAAATGTCTGCGGCTAAATTGCTAACATATGTTCCAGGAAGTCCATGGGGTCTGCACTGGTCACGCGGAGACCCTCAGAGTGCAGACTAAACACTGATGGCCTTTCCTGCTCCACTCCCGCGAGGAGCACTGAAAGCTGGAAGAATATGACAAAACTGCCATCTAGTGTGCAGGATGGAAACACAGGTCTGCCTCAAGATTCTGCAATTAAATGGGAAGTACGGGATAAAAAAAAGCCTACTGTTTTTTAGGCACAGCGTTCTTAAAATTTTAACCAATATTTTTAGATATAAACAGTGCTAAGCTGAAATTCTGGTCAAATAGCCTGAACAGAAAAATGTAACCGCAAGGTGATGGTGTGCAGGGGTGGCTGGACATAGATCTGGAAGCCACACAGAATTCAAAATAGGATGGCTTTTCATCAAAAAATACAGAAGAACATTTTCAGGCCACTGTAGATGCCATTTATATCAGACTATTAAGTGCTATAGACTAATTTTATCATGCTTCTTGTGTTTTTTCAAGGTGTCTTATTTGAAAAGATAGTGGAATCTAATGTAAAAGTCAAAATAGAACAACTATTATTGGAATAACAATTAAAGCATTAACGAGATCCCACCAAATGAACTCATTTTTTAATAACCATTCCAAATTGTTCTAAAACAATAGGCCGGTATTTACATTTCTGCCCTTACTTAAATGTTTGTCCATCTGTGGGGGGATATAAAATCGTCTAAGTGCAACGTGTGGCTATTAAACCCGCTGTAAACACGTATCCTATTTTATTATCTTTCATTAAATAAACTCTGAAAAGTCTCTCCTTAAACTTAGTTTTTAATTTAAAAAGTCACCTACAAAGATGCGAGCACATCGTAACTACTTCTGGTTACCACACATGAGTTATTATAAAAGCAGAAGACAAGATTAGCCGTTCCACAGAGTCTGTCCTAACTGCTATTAGAGTGTTGGATTATTAAAGGCCCTTCAATCTAGCAGAATGCTATAGTCCCAGGGGCCCCGTCTGCTTTCCTCACAAGCTTCGACAATGTCCTAATGCAAGACTTGGCTCTCCTATTAAAATAAAAACACAATCTCTACCATGCTGTTTGGTCCTGATTTCTTCAGTAATAAATCTCCCCCTAATAATGGAACGGCTCCACTTGCACAGATGTGTGCACAAGTTCCTTTTCGATTATGGCAATTCCTGATTGCCACCACTTAAAAATTCACATCCTCTAATTTTCAAAAAAAAAAACCCAACATATTCTGGCACCTGTTTGGATGACATAGGCTACACATAAGAGATTCTTTGAGGAAAAATAATCAGAATTAAAATGGAATAAACTTTTCCAGTCACTTCCCCCCTCCTCCAACGAAGGGATGAATGGATATGAAGCTGTAAGTAATGTCGAGTCATTTGGACTTCTGAAGCCAATCTTTCATAAACTGGTCTTCATCTGAAATAGCCCGTTGAGAGTTAACTTTACTTCACTATTATAGTTTGGTCTTATCTAATTAATATATATTATCACATTTTTCAACCTTTATTTTCTTTTATTGCCCACATATATTGATAACTATGGTTAGGTAAATGTTTTACTACTATTTCCACTAAAATACATGTAATGCTAGGAAAAAAAAAAATCCTACAGTCACTCTTTCCCACCATTAAAGAGAGACCACTCCCTGAAATTCCCTCCCAGAGAAACAAATTGCAAAGTTCTCTGTGTTTTAATGATGTTCAAATCCAAGACTCTACCAATGATTTAGTCTTCTTTCTATCTACTGTACAGAGAAGTCATCTTAATTCCTGTTAAACTAATTAAAAATAAATATTCTAGATGGCAATATTAGCATCTACGTTTATGTGTAATTAACACAATGAATTGATCATATACCTTTAATTGACTTTAAAGTACATCCTCAAGACATAGATGATATGACAAAAGGATAATAATCATAAAGCCAGGAATTGGGTTTTTGGATATGTATTATACTAGTCTATTATTTCCTGTGCATTTGAAAAAAATTAAATAAAATGGTGAAAATAAAAAAATAAGGATATTTGAAGAGAATGATTAATATAGAGCTATAAAAATCCTTTTACTTTGGAACTTGAAATATATTATTAACTATTTTGTTTCTGTAGAATTTGATCTCTGTGTAATTTATTATAATACATAAAGTTCTTCAGTTCAATTTGATAATTAATGTAATCATTAACAGTAGTATATTTTCACATAGATTTCCTAAAAAAAAAAATTAAACTCTTACTTATGATGGTACTGCTTAGAAATGTAGCATGATTTAGTTATTAATACTTTTCCCCTACACTCCCTTGTTAGTTTTAAAACATAATTTAGCATCTAGCTTTTATTTAGCTTATTAATGTGGAGCAAAGCAAATGACTCTTCACTGAAAGCCTGTTGTGTTCTCCATTGTTTAACAATTTCTAAATTACAAAGTACTGTCAAGAGACACAAGAGTTAAAAAAAAAAAAAAAAGGCATGGGTGGGGACTTGAATTCTATCTCATTAGAAACCAGATTCCAGGAACAGAGGATACTAGAATGCTTAATTAAAATAAAAACAACTGACATGATTTATGGATCTGCTACTGTGCCAGACGCTTTAACTGCTTTTATATTATTTCATTTAATCATTCTAACAATAATATAAAGTACTATTTAAGCCTGTTGATAAATAAGAAAATAGAAGCTCAGAGAAGTTAAGCAACTTGTTTAGAATCACGAAGCAAAAACTGACAGAGCTCTGCATTGTAATCCAGATCTCCATCTAACAATTACTTTGCCTCTCCCCTTAGTTTTAACACCATTCAAACTGCATTACAGAAACTACTTGTATAGTTAGGGGAGTATCTGAGGCAGGAATTTTAACTTAACACACACCAAAAGACATATGGTTGTTTGGCAGGGAATAACCAAGGTCTGAGGTGCAGCACTAACAAGACTATCCATGCAACTATCCTTTCACCACACAGTTTCTTTCACAATGTTTCATTCTGGGCCGCCTGGGTGGCTCAGCCAGTTAAGTGTCTGCCTTCCGCTCAGGTCATGATCCCAGGGTCCCGGGATCCAGTCCCACATGGGGCTCCCTGCTCAGTGGGGAGCCTGCTTCTCCCCTGCCTGCCACTTCCGCTGCTTGTGCGCTAACAAATACATAAACAAATAAAATCTTAAAACAAAACAAAACAAACAAAAAAAAAACCTTATTTCATTCTGATAAAGAAGGGTGTCTGGTTAAAACATGACTATCCAGTGTTCGGATGGTCCTTCTCAGCTAGTCAGAGAACAAGAGAAGCTAACTGAGAGAATGGGTCTTTATTCTAAAGACAAACTGGAGTAAACATATCTGGGGCCAGGTCACAAATGGAATGCAACAGAAACTGGGGGGAGAAGAAAGCATAAGGGTTAATCCCAAAATGGATCCGATTATTTGCCTAAAGTGTTTTCTGTTTAGTTTTATTTTTATACAGAGTAATATGAAGGATGAAGGAAAACAGGATTTGGTAGGAAATAATACAGTGAACTTGAAAACTTCTGCCTGAAGGAGACAGGACTGGAATGCTCGAAATACTAGTTTATACGCCCCAAAATGACCTAAGAAAGGAGAAAACATCTGAATAAGATGCTCATCTGAAGAAGTGAATGGTGACTATGTGCAGAACAATTTACTCTTCCATTCCCAACTAATAATCTATGTTACTATATTTTGTGACTTAAGATGTATAAAGAGCTGAAAAATTTCACGGTGGCCACGATTTATTGCACTTTCAAAAAGGATATTAGGAAAACAGAATGCAATATGTCACATTTCAAATAAAACATTAAACTCAAGTCTCTCTTATTCTTTTAGTACCTTTAAAATTTTAAAACTTAGTTGTTCTCTTTTTTAATTAAACACTATTGTGTGAGGCTTAGGTAAAGTTATTCAACAGAGCAAAGGTGTTTTTGTTTTGTCTTGTTTTGTTTACTTTTACTTTTATGTACCCATTCCTGCCCTCCCCTCCCCCCACCATCTCCCCTCTGGTAACCATCAGTTTGTTCTCTAGAGTTAAGTCTGTTTCTTGGTTTGCCTCTCTTTCTGGTTTTTTGTTTTTTGTTTTTTTCCTTTGCTTGTTTATTTTGTTTCTTAAATTCCACAAAGGTATCTTACATTTGGCCAATGTGTATTATTATCTCAACCGAATAGTTCAAGACCTATATTAAGGCTTTAAAAGTCATGGCTGAATGTCAAAATTGGGTTATGCCATGTAGAATGAATAGTGTCTTCATTATTTTTTATTTATAATCAACCAAGGACTATTTTTAGCAGTAAATTTGCCTAAAAATAGAAATCAATGGTTTGCTTTCTGACTACTAACAGGATCCGAGTTTGATCGTTTACCTTAATATCATAATTGAAAAATGGGTTCCCTTTTTTGAATTATTGTTTGAGGAGATAAATATTGTGTAAACTACATCATTTCCTCAAGTTTGGTAACATGAAAATACACTCTCAGTTTATTTCACATATATTTTGTAAGCTGGAGTGCTAGATTAGAGTGAAAGGGAACTGTGCAAAAAATAACACAAGCCTTGGATTTCATCTACCGTAGCAATTGGCAAAAAAAAAAAAAAAAAGTATATATCTCTTTCCTTGATACTGAATATATTACACAAACAAATGGACATTTAAAATGCAATTTAGATATCATATTTTATGGTCATCAATGATGTCAAATTAAAACAGGTATTATACACTCAATGCAGAGGTCTGAAGTATTTAAAAAAGCTCAATATGTTAAATGCAGCATATCTCTAGAGAAATTAGGTATTGACTGCATGCCTCAGTGAGTAGAAAAATCTACAAAAATCCATACCACACATTGATCCAAATATTGCTTTTTAACATTACTAAGAATGTAACAAATTTTAAAATAGTACATTTGACACAGATATAATTCTCTTTAATTATCAGGCAACAAGCCCAAAATATGTCAATGTTTATACACGTTAGTTTTTATGAAGAAGAAAAAATTAATAACAGAAGAGATAGATAAACTGAATGTATATTACTCTAATTTTACACTAAATGAAGCATTTCAGCCACTCAGAAAATACCTCTAGGTCATACAAGAGAATTGAGTCTGGAAGAATAACTTCAATTTTGAAAAGGCAAACAGTCCCGCGGACGGTCGTTCCCCCATCCGGCCGTCTCTATCTCTAGTCATACATTTTGGTTTGTAATGATACAAGCTGCCTTCCTTTTACATAAAGTTGAACTAGAAAATGCTAAGGGAGACTGGTGATTGGTACCTTATACAACTCCTTCATTAGAAAAACCCAACTAAGCCACGGAAGAATGAGAGCTGGCTCTGGTTTCTGAGTAACACACTACGGCAAGTAGGAGAGACGTGATCAGGTCAATGGTCTCCGTTAAGTGGCTAATTCCTAAGTCAGTCTTCCAATGAGTCTTAAATATTTCCCTGGGCCTGACCTGACATATAGCAACTGTGTTGACAACTGGAGGTTCTATTTCCTAGAGATAACTTGTTTTGCTCTTTATGTTTTCCTTCGCATTATCTTTCTCAGTATTTATTTGATCTCCCAGCTGGACTGCTATAGAAAAGATTTTTCTGAGATTAAACTACATAGTGACTGTGCTGAAAGTAAACACGTGAATATTTATGAATCTGACCTTCTACATTTAACTACAGGATTTATGGTCCTGTTTATTCTGGTGTCTAGATATGACTAAATGATTATTTCATTTCTAATAAATTCCTAAAGTAAAATGTTTTATTTTGGAAAGTTAAATGCAAAACACTAGGAATGAATGGTATTCAAACATTTGAGGATATCAAACCCTTCACTTTATATATCAGACTGAAACTGCATATCAAAACTTCAGCAAAGATATTTATATGTATTTATGTATGTATGTGTGTTTATGTGCATGCATGTATGTACGTATGCGTATATAGTGGACCCTTGAAAACATGAATTTGAATTGCCTGGGTCCACTTATATGCAGATTTTTTTTTTTACAGTACTGTAAATGTATTTTCTCTTCCTTATGATTTTCTTAGTAACATTTTCTTTCTCTAGCTTACTTTATTGTAAGAATACAGTATGTTATACATATAACGGAAAAAAACATGTGCTGGGTGCCTGGGTGGCTCAGTTGGTTACGCATCAGCGGGCAGCCCGCTTCTCTCTCCCCCTCTGCCTGCAGCTCCCCTGCTTGTGTGCTCTGTCAAATGAGTAAATAAAATCTTTAAAAAAAAAATGTGTTAATTGGCTGTTATCTGGTAAGGCTTCTGGTTATCAGTAGGCTATCAGTGGTTAAGTTTTGGGAGAGTCAAAAGTTATACATGGGTTTTTAACTGCATGGGGAATCAGTACCCCAACCCTGTGTTCTTCAAGGTTAACTGTATACATATGTATATCTATGTAGACATGTATATCTACATATTGGTCTAAGTAGATAGAAATATACCTAAAAGTTTAGTGTAAATTCTATTTTAAATGAAGTAAGGGAATCTACTTTTTTTTTTTTTTAAGATTTTATTTATTTATTTGACAGACAGAGATCATAAGTAGACAGAGAGGCAGGCAGAGAGAGAGGAGAAAGCAGGCTCCCTGCTGAGCAGAAAGCCCGATGCGATGCGGGGCTCAATCCCAGGACCCTGAAGGCAGAGGCTTTAACCCACTGAGCCACCCAGGTGCCCGGGAATCTACTTTTTATAAGAATCTTGTGAAACCTCGATAAAAATGAATTATTCACTCCAGCATACAACTTTCTAGCAGATACCAAAAATATGTAATATAGGCACTTCCCTGAACAGTCCTCCCAGCGAAGTAATACCATCTTTCTACCATCATTCTCAGTTCAGTTTTCTCCTCAGAGACCTAGCGTGGTGAAATCTACCCAACTCATCAACATGTGTTATTATTTAGGGAGGAAAAAAACTTAAATGGACTCCAGAATAAAAAACGGTTTAAATCGTTCATGAAGGCAGCACAATGAAAACACTGCCCTGAACAATGTAATGACTGTAGAGGACGTTTAGAATTACCATAGTCCAAACACTGATTCAACTAACATGTAACAATTCTACTTCCCATTCTGCAATCACAGTTGTTTCTTAGCACTTATAATAGTTAATATCAGAGAGCATCAGTATGAGAGCTATCAGTTATAGTAATAAGGAGCCCAACCATAAGTAAATATCATTTAACATGCCTGGGCCAATGCTTAAGAATCTGTATGATGAATTTCCAGTTATACTGCTATGAAAAAAGTATTTCTGGGTTTGTGCAAAGTCTTCCATACTAATAGATCTGGCAAAAATGAGGAACAAAATTCACTCGGAGTGAAAGAACTTTAAACTGAAAAACATGTATCAGTAAGCATTCAACTCTTACATTTCTTAATTAAAGCTATGTCCCATTTATATCTTTAAATGCTCACTGACTCATTAACAATGTAAATGGTGAAAAATTATACAATATTACTAAATTTCTTATGATCATTACTTTTCTAACTCTCTTATCCTTGGAAAAAAAAAAATGTAGTGGTTCCCATTACTTTGATCAGGAATATAAAGAGTAATCTCCACTTCAGGAAATTTAACCTATGATTCTTCCCGGAAGGAAGGTATGCAACTGACACACCTGTTTCACTTTTTCACTGGCTTACCTTACACTAGTGTGGGTTTTAACTGCTCTGGAAGATGATCAAGACCCCCCACATTATATGGCCGATGGTTCTTTTAATAGAAAAGGCAGTAATATACAGTTGTTTGCACCAACTAAAGCTCATCAGAAAGTATCAGTTTAGGGTAACAGTTCAACAGCCATTAACAAGTGAAAATGTGTAATTACCTTTTAGTGACACGGGGTCCTTTCGAAGCTGTTTTTAAATTATTTTTATGGTTTAGCATATTTGAAAATACTTGTATAAATAAAGTTTACAAAGAATATAATTTTGAAAGGCAAACTTTTTCAATAATCACCATTTTTTTTACTAGCATAACATTAGAATTGACTTTTTGTCTTGCTGACAGAGCAACTAAGAAAGTACAGTTGCATTGACCATATTGATTGTGAACAAAGCAACCATCAGTGGGACTCTGCACCATATATTTTCAATATTGACCTCCCACTTCCTTTTCCATGGCTTTCTGGGTCGGCTATTGGATTTGGACTGCAGTGTAATAAACAGCTAAGGTTTAATTAATGGTAAATGAATACAAGACATAGGTTATGACTTTAACTAATTAGGGAATTGTTGAATTAAGTCTGCCTTGGAATGCAAGGCAGTACAATCAATATCCAATAAAAGGACTATGTATGTAATTTACCTGCAAATGTGTTTCCAATACCATCAAAGTGAGTTTAAATAAGTAAGATATATGAAAAGCGACTAGGAGAGATTTCCACAAGTTAACACTTTATAGTTTCAGAAGAGATTTCCTTATTGTTGAGCGATGGTATCTTCTAAAACTCTGATAAGGACCAGGTGAAAAACAGGCATAATTCTTCCCATGTGCACCTTTACCAAATCTGTAATATTAGTGACAGCGTACAAATTCACTTGCTGACCTCCAAGTTTAACCTATACAAACTACTGATTTCCTGCCCCAAATCAGCATCAAGTTTTGCTTACTTGACACCCTGTTGCACCCTTCTCACTTTTCACAATCTCTGTCTCTTCCCTCTAGTAGAAGAAATATTCAATGACATACAGGAATTCACTACTTTCAATAAAAATCTTGGCAACGTTCTTACTCTTCAAACTGACTATGCAAAGGTCATTTCATGGGCCTTATTACCCTTTAATCATTCTTCCGAAATAAAATTAAGAAAAAGAAGAAACCTACCTACTCCCTTGTGGGCATCCACGCTGGTAAACTCTAGTGTCCCGTTATGGCCTTTTCTAGGATTTTCCTGATACTGTTTGTGGTTCCCATTGGGACAATATCTGTAGCAAAGTCCATAATCTGCAAGATAAACCTGGAAGACATGAACAGAGAAATGAGTAATGCTTTTGTCCTCTGAAAATATAACCTTTATAATTAAGTCTTAAGAAACTGATAGGTTCAGAACAGCCTCAGATCTACATTTTATTAAACCAAATGGTGCCTCAGGATAAAATATATACAACTGGGGGCCATAACAACTAACTTTCCAGCTTAAATCCTTACTTCATCATGGGCATATCTTGTTTCTGAGTTGACTTATATTTTAGTCCTTTTTATTTTACTCTAAATTCTCTTCCCTCTAGGTGGGCATCTAGATATCATAAACTACAATAGGTTTTTTTTTTTCTTTTAAATCCATATTCATACAGCTTACGAGGCCTGCCTTTTCTTGTAACCCCTCCCTTAAAAATAAACATGTTTCAAGCAGGTAGGGGAGAGGAGAGCAAACAATCTAAAAATATAAACCTAATGTTATAGGAAACTCCATTAACAAGAAGTATAAAAACAGTGAACAGACTATAAGAGGTAATGACTCTTTAAAAAACAAAACAAAACAAAAAAAACCACCATCATGTTGCCTGTATTTAAGATGGAACATCAATGCAGTACTTTTGGCCTTTCAGACCGATCCATATCATCACTGTTATCTTTGTAAGTCAGTCAGAATTGCAAGCCGTGTCTCCAAACAGAATATAGATTGTTAAAAGTCAGATGGCAATTCAAGTGAATTTTTCTTAGATTACTTTTGGAGAGAGAAAGAAGGGGGAGAAGTAGTTTTACAGATACAGCATGCCCTGAATAGGGAACTGATAGGACTAGACATTCATCCTCATGTGTAGCCAGAATGGAGTAGTTCCCAACTACGTTACCATGCTCCTTCCCAAAACAAAGCAGTTTAAAATTCTTAAACGTGTTGTTTCACATGTATTTCTTTAAAACAGGAGGACTGAGGCAACATTTCCTGATACAGCTTCAAGACAACAGAGCACTGCAATACAACTTGTGCTTTAAAATATAATACCTATTAAAAGAAAATTTAGTGTTGAATTTTAGTCTAAGTTTTTGGTTTTATGATAGCCGAAGAAGAAGACAATTTGACCTTCAAAATATAAACAGCAGAGAGTTTTCTTCATTTGATGGAGAATATAGCTTGCTAGAGTGTCTGGAAACATGGTATTTCAGTTTTCTCTCCCTCGCCCACAGACACTATTTCTCAACATGGCCTCAGAAGTAACCGATCCCTCTGCCCTAAATAACTAGACTCCAGGATCAGATGTGTAACTGGTAGCTTGCTCTCACTATTTATCATGCACTCTATTTAGTTCAAGAACCAAACAGACTTCACTTTGCAAAGCAGATACCCTGCAAACATACATACTGGTAATTCAGCAAATGGAAACATTTTAAATACACTAGAGTAATTTACTACTATTTACTATAGGAGAACCATAAGAGACACTCAACTCTAGGGAACAAACTGAGGGTTGCTGGAGGGGAGGTGGCTGGGGGAGGGGGTAACTGGGTTACCTTAATTACATTAAAGAGGGCACTTAATGTAATGAGCACTGGGTGTTGTATGCAACCAGTGAATCACTAAATTCAACCCCCAAAACTAATAATACTCTATATGTTTACTAAATTGAATTGAAATTAAAAAAATTTTTTTAATTAAAAAAAATAAGACCTATCAAGAAGTTTTTCAGGTAGTCATTAGTCACAGAAATCAATCAATCAATCATTCAATCAGACCTAAAACTTATGGGGTGCCTAATATGCTTCAGGTAGCATGCTAAGAGGTTAATCTTCACTGACCCTCCCAAAAATCCTGTAGGTAGGTACCATCACCTCCATTTTACTCCAGTACACTCTGAAGCCTAGTGAGATTATTTGATTTGTGTAATAAGGTAGAGCCAGAGTCTGACACCAGAGTCTTCACTCTCAATCACTGTCAAAGGGAAACTGCACTGGACAAGCTACACAGACAAGGAAGATTTCATGCAAAGCTACTGAATAAGAGAGAGAGACTGCTGCTGGGTGGGGAGTTTGAACTCAACTCTGCTGAAACAAAAAATGGGCAAGTTTTAAAGTGCAGGGGGTGAGCTAGTGAACTAATTGCAGGAGGTTAAAGGAAGGCTGGTCAGCGTGACTAGGGCCCTCCATGTTGTTAATTGGTGTGTAGGTTCCGACCCTTTCTCAGGGCACAATCTTTCTTAATCACTACATTTTAAAGGGATGGCTCCCAGGTCCTTGAAAAAGACATTCCTAGTTACAAAATGGACAAGAAGCTGGGAAAAGATTTACATCTCAAAGGCACAGAGAAAAAGCTTACAGTTTCATGTTTTCTAAGGTAAATGCTCTAAAAAAAAGGACAGGGTCCTATAATCCAAAGAAAATTACCTAAAGTTCAGTTAAGGTAAAGACAAGAAGCTAATAGTATAATAAAGAAAACATATGCTAACCATTTGACTCAGAATACAGTAATTCATTTGAATAGTGCTGCAGTGGACACATGATAAAGATACCTCTTTGAGATAATGATTTCATTTCCTTTGGATATACACCCAGAAGTGGATTCTTGGATCATATGGTAGGTTTGTTTTTAATTTCTTGAGGAACCTCCATACTGTCTTCCACAGTGGCTGAACCAGTTTGCATTTCCACCAACAGTGCACCAGGGTTCCCTTTGCTCCACATACTCCCCAATACTTGTTACCTCCTCTTTTTGATAATAGCCTAACTGATGTGAGTTGATACCACACTGTGGTTTTGATTTGCATTTCTCTGATGATTTAGTGATGCTGAATACCCTTCTATATACCTGTTGGCCATTTGGATGTCTTCTTTGGAAAAGAGGTCTATACAGGTCCTTTGCCCATTTTTTTGTTTTAAAGATTTTATTTATTTATCTGACAGATAGAGATCACAAGTAGGCAGAGAGGCAGGCAGAAAGAGGAGGAAGCAGGCTCCCCGCTGAGCAAAGAGCCTGATGTGGGGCTTGATCCCAGGATGCTGGGATCATGACCAGAGCCGAAGGCCGAGGCTAAACCACTGAGCCACCCAGGCGCCCCCCCTTTGCCCATTTTTTAACTGGGTTGTTTTGGTTCATTTTTGTTATTGAGTTGCAGGAGTTCTTTGCATATTTTGGATATACCCTCACTGGATATGTGATTTATGAAAGTTTTCTCCCATTCCATAATTGCCTATTTTGTTGATGATTTCCTTCACTATACAGAAGGTTTTTAATTTGCTGTAGTCCCATTTGTTGATTTTTGCTTTAGTTGCACTTACTTTTGGTATCAAATCCAAAGATCACTGGAAGACCAATGTCAAGGAGCTTCTCCCTGTTTTCTCCCAGAAGTTTTATGGTTTCAAATCTTACGTTCAAGTCTTTAATCCACTTGGAGTTAATTTTTGTGTATGGTGTAAGATATGGGCCCACTTTCATTCTTTTCCATTAGCTGTCCCATTTTCCCAACACCATTTAAGAGATCATCTTTTCCCTACATATATAGATTCTTGGCTTCTTATCAAAGATTAATTGACCATATATGCAAGAGTTTATTTCCGGAGTCTATCCTGTTGCATTGATCTATGTGTCTCTTCTTACGCTAATACCATACTGTTCTGATTACTGGAACTTTGTAACCCAGTTTGAGATCAGGAGGTGTAAGGCCTCCAACACTGTTCTTCCTTCTCAGGATGACTATGGCAATTCAGGATCTTTTGTGATTCCAAACAATTTTTAGAATTGTTTTTCTATTCCTGCGAAAAAGGCCACTGGAAATTTGATAAGGACTAAATTGAGTCTATTGATTGCTCTGAATAGTATGGACCTTTTTACAATTTTAATTCTTCCAACCCATCAGCATGGAATTTCTTTCTATTTATCTATGTCTTCTTCAGTTTTTTTTTCATTAGTGTTTTGTAGTTTTCAGCACATAGTTCTTTCATGTTCTTGGTTAAATTTATTCCCAAGTATTTTATTCTTTTTGATGTTATTATAAATGGGGTTATTTTAATTTCTCTTTCCAATAGCTCATTGTTAGTGTACAGAAATGCAACTGATCACTGTATACTGATTTTGTATCCTGCAACTTTACTGAATGCATTTATTAGTTCTAATAGTTTTTTGGTGAAGTCTAGGGTTTTCTCTATATAATAGCACATCATCCACAGAGAAAATTTTACTGCTTCCTTTCCTATGTGGATGACTTTATTTTTCTTGCCTAATTGCTCTGGGTAGGACTTCCAGTACTATATTTATTCACTACTATACTTGTTCTGTGGCCTAACATATGATCTATTCTAGAGAATGTTCCATGTGTGCTTGAGAAGAATGTGTATTCTGCTGCGGATGATGGGATGACTTGTATATGTCTGTTAGTCCCATCTGGTCTAACATGTAGTTTAAGCCCAATGCTTCCTCATTGATTTTCATCTGGATGATCTAGCCTTTGTTGAAAATGGGGTACTGGAGCCCCATATTATTGTAGTGTTGTCTGTAGGTGGAGTCTATAATCTGTTAATATATGCTTTATATATTTGGTGCTCCAATATCGGGTGCATAATTATTGTTCTTAATAGAGAGTTGCAGGCAGAATTCAAATAATCATGGAATGCTATCAAACAGTGGTAGAACAAACAAATATCTATCCCACCACACCCAATATAACCTCCCCTGGTTTTTTTAGTTTGTTTTTAATCTACTAGTGCAGCATATGGCTTAAAATATTTATATTCTATGAGAACTGGATGAATTCTCTAATCAGTATAGATCTTGATGCACTAATGAAGAAATAAGAGTGACTGCACTTGGTAAGCAGAGATTTTGGTATAAGGAAAGTCAATAATTTGTCCCAAGTAATCAAAACGTTGAGAAATTAATTTGATACAAATTAGGACAGAGAATTTCTAAGAAGGTGCAGTAGTAGAAAAACAGTCTAGAATGCCTTAAGAACAGTTCAAAGAAAGAAAAAAAGGTTGGGAAATATTGTCAAACAAGATAAGGAGGGGAGGAAAGGAAGAAAATTT